TCAGATCTAGGAGTCTTGGTTGACCACAAACTTGATATGAGCCAACAGTGGGACGCGGCAGCTAAAAAAGCCAATGCAATTCTGGGCTGCATCAATAGGAGTATAGCATCTAGATCAAGGGAAGTAATAGTGCCACTGTATTCTGCTCTGGTCAGACCTCACCTGGAGTACTGTGTCCAGTTCTGGGCACCACAGTTCAAGAAGGACACTGACAAACTGGAACGTGTCCAGAGGAGGGCAACCAAAATGGTCAAAGGCCTGGAAACGATGCCTTATGAGGAACGGCTAAGGGAGCTGGGCATGTTTAGCCTGGAGAAGAGGAGGTTAAGGGGTGATATGATAGCCATGTTCAAATATATAAAAGGATGTCACATAGAGGAGGGAGAAAGGTTGTTTTCTGCTGCTCCAGAGAAGCGGACCCAAACTACAAGAAAGAAGATTCCACCTAAATATTAGGAAGAACTTCCTGACAGTAAGAGCTGTTCGACAGTGGAATTTGCTGCCAAGGAGTGTGGTGGAGTCTCCTTCTTTGGAGGTCTTTAAGCAGAGGCTTGACAACCATATGTCAGGAGTGCTCTGATGGTGTTTCCTGCTTGGCAGGGGGTTGGACTCGATGGCCCTTGTGGTCTCTTCCAACTCTATGATTCTATGAAAAGGGGGCTCACATTTCCCAGCTTTACTCTTCCATCCTGACTTATCTCTCGTCTTTGGTCTCCCCTCTAGGTTTTCCCCTCTAATCCTGATTTTGTTCCTGGGTTCTGACTCTCAGCTCTGGGCTGCACTGGACAACTCCATTTTTAATGTCTTTTAATAATATACAAATAATAAATAATTAATTTGTATACCACCCTTCAGCCAAAGATCACAACATAAAAATACAAAATGAAAACACCAAACAGCTAATACAAAAACAAAAACAAGGCTAATCAATAACTAATCAATAGCTCCCCCTCCCCAAAGAACACCGGACACACAACTCCTCCTGGAAATTTTGAGGCAGAAGATCATAAGCTAAAATATTAAAGAGAAAACTTTCCTTCTTTCTTCCACCACGCAGCACCCCCAACAAAAGCCAAGACATTTCAGTGGACTTAGACTACCCCAGAGAGGCCAAAAGGATATTCTAAACTAGCTTTTCTTAACCTGTGGGTCCCCAGATGTTGTTGAACTACAACTCCCATCACCCCTAGCTAGCAAGGCCAGAGCTCAGGGATGATGGAAGTTGTAGTCCAACAACATCTGGGGACCCACAGGCTGAGAACCGCTGTGCTAAACCAAGCCTCCTCAAACTCGGCCCTCCAGATGTTTTGAGACTATAACTCCCATCATCCCTGACCACTTGTCCTGCAAGCTAGGGGTCATGGGAATTGTAGGCCAAAAACATCTGGAGGGCCGAGTTTGAGGAAGCCTGTGCTAAACTCTACTCCCCACCCATCCACTTGTTTGGAAAGCAGCAACACATTTTAAAAGCCATCTCTTAGAGGTTTAGAATGAGATCTTCCTGCCTAACCCCATTTTAAAAACTATGAACTTTTGAAAGCAGTTTGCTTCTGCAGAAGAGGTATCTGCAGAGTAAAGAACTCAAAGCTAAAGATATATAATGAATATTTGTAGATCAGATTTCTAAAGCAAACTTTCCATATTCATAGCTACAGACGAGTGTCCTGAATAAAGTAACAGTTTATTGCAAATACAGAGAAAAAAAGGAAGAGCCAGCGGCCTTCTGCACATATGGCGGCACATTAAGCCAATTTCACAGGACTGCGGAAGGTCATAATCATCTGGCCTCATTAAAAAAAAAAAAGTTTTGTGTACTAGCAAGCTGGTCAGCACTTCGATGAGGAAAATGTTAAGTAATAGCAATCTGCTCTGGACTTAAAATGATGAGAATTTTTTTCCTAGAATGTAAACCAGAGTGCAAACCAGCCATTTGGAAAATTCCCCCCTTGGAAAAAGTAACTATCAGGTTTTTGTAGATGAATGTCCCAAATAGACAGTGTAACTTTTCAGAACGGCTGAAATATGAAGGGAAATATTGCTGGCAGTTTTCTGAAGATTCTCCAGATGGCACCACACTGTCTTTGTTTAGTACCAATGTAGCTGAGGTTATTTCTCAGGCTTTTCAGGCCAAGTGCTTCCTCCGTCAGCGTATTGACTGATGTATGCACAGGTCATTGAGTCTTACTGCTGCCTTTAATGAAGGGTTTTTTCCCCTTCTCCTTCCCGTCCTATTTGATTGCGTTCCCCAGTCACTTTTCTCACTGAAGGGAAGTTGTCTTTCTGCAGTTCTCTTACTGCACATAACTGTGGCATTATGGGAAGTCTTACTATGAAATCTTTCTATGCTCACTATGAGAACTCTTGCTTCTTTCCTCTTGGATTCTGGGAAGTCTCCTTCTGCTCTGCACATACTGTTCCAAACACACCGAGCTCAGATATTCCCTCATTCTTCAGTTCATTCTGAGTTCACGTACAAAAAACAACATGCTCTGTTCTCAATGCATAGCTGACCACATATACGGACCTTTCACTTATGATCAATCATTAGTAATTGTTTTAGTCATGTTATATTAATCTTAGTTACAATTTAATTAGGAGGATTCATGCCTGTCTAGTTCCAGCTCCGTTCCCAGGCTTTTGAACTATCACTGATTAATGTAAAATGTTATTCCCGCCTTGTACCTATGTTAACCAATCAGCAACAAGATGCTTTGTGTTTGTATCAGCCAATCAGCCACAAGCACACCTGTGGCAATGTTTGTAATATTCAGTAAAAGAGAGTTCCCGGGACTTGCCCCGGGCAGACGTCTCTCCTTTGACACCCACCATTCGTCTGTCGTGATTTCAACCCAACAGTCTTCAAAGTCTCCCATTCCAAGGAAACAAAACCTTGGAACAAACCCCTGGAACCCCTGAACTCTTGCACCACTGAAGAGATTGGGGTGGCGTGCAGTGATATTGTTGACTATGACTGGCACAACAGTTTTCCTATTTGACTGTATGTGTAAGTTGACAAGTATTTAGTGTCTGAGAATGCTCTGCATCTGGTGATATGCAAGGTATTTAGCATTTGACAGGAGGTGTCGCTGACAGCTTATGAAGGCTCATATTTGATGCCCACCAAGACTATCAAGGGTGGCGCTGTGAGTTAAACCACAGAGCCTCGGGTTTGCCAATCAGAAGGTCAGCGGTTCAAATCCCTGCGATGGGGTGAGCTCCCATTGCTCGGTCCCTGCTCCTGCCAACCTAGGAGTGCGAAAACACGTCAAAGTGCAAGTAGATAAATAGGTACCGCTCCGGTGGGAAGGTAATTATTATTATTATTATTATTATTATTATTATTATTATTCCTGTAGCGCAGACAGACAACATGTAAACATGTTTGACCTTTAGCACATTCAGACTGGTATAGCTTCGCTGGGTTTTTCTTTTAGTGAGGGTTGGGAAATGTGTGCACATGACTTAATGAGGTTTGGTGCAAAGTGAGTGTTGGGTTGAAATCACGACAGACGAATGGTGGGTGTCAAAGGAGAGACGTCTGCCCGGGGCAAGTCCCGGGAACTCTCTTTTATTGAATATTACAAACATTGCCACAGGTGTGCTTGTGGCTGATTGGCTGATACAAACACAAAGCATCTTGTTGCTGATTGGTTAACATAGGTACAAGGCGGGCATAACATTTTACATTAATCAGTGATAGTTCAAAAGACTGGGAGCGGAGCTGGAACTAGACAGGCATGAATCCTCCTAATTAAATTGTAACTAAGATTAATATAACATGACTAAAACAATTACTAATGATTGATCATAAGTGAAAGGTCCGTATATGTGGTCAGCTATGCATTGAGAACAGAGCATGTTGTTTTTTGTACGTGAACTCAGAATGAACTGAAGAATTGAGGGAATGTCTGGGTGTCCTGAGCTTGGTGTGTTTGGAACAGTATGTGCAGAGCAGAAGGAGACTTCCCAGAATCCAAGAGGAAAGAAGCAAGAGTTTTCATAGTAAGCATAGAAAGATTGCATAGTAAGAGTTCCCATAATGCCACAGTTATGTGCAGTAAGAGAACTGCAGAAAGAGAACTTCCCTTCATCTCCCCCTTTCTTTTCTTGTTTGCGAGGCATTCCAGGTGGATAAGGCAAAAATACTTCGGGATTAGTGGTGTGCCAGCGAATGCCCGAAATAAGCCTGCCAGGGTCGATGGGACAAAAGTACTTCAGGATACGTGGTTTGCCAGCGCATGCCCAAAATAAATCCGCCCACATCTCCCCTAAGGTTTACTGTTGGTGTTGCCATTTCGCAATGTAAGCAGCAAGGAGTTTGCTGGGTGGTGGAGGGGGGGAGAGAAGCCGAGAGAAAAGACTCATGAGGCTGGGAACGCATTGAAGGAAACAGCATAACAAAATAAGAATAGAAATTATGAAAATAGCATATTGAAAGAGACTACGAAGCCAAGTAAGGTTAGGCAGCCAAGCAGTAAGCCACTGGGTGAAAGAATCCCAGAGGCCAGGAAAACCAATGTCCTGTTTAATGTGATGTGTAAGATTTTGCAAATGAGAGATTTGGCTTTGAATGGCTCTTGAATTGTCAGTAATATTGAAACAGCACATGTCATTCACTTGTTCACAGTCATAATGATGAAGCATGAGCAAATAGTGATAGCAGCACGATTTCGTAAAAGTCCATTATATAAAAGTCCATTATAAAAGTCCACTTTGTTCTTTATTCAAAAGGTGAAGGGCTTGTGAAGTAAAATTCAGGGTTTTTGCTGCATAACAAGCTAAAGAAATAATGTTCATTCGATTCCGTACAGCCAATCCAGGGACTCCTAAGAGAGAAGCAACTAAAGAGATATATTCAGACCTACTGAGAAGAGAGACAAAAGCATCACAATCATTAGTCAATTCAGTATTGCAGCGATAAAATGATGGACAAACGGCTTAAACAGCAAGGTGTGCCATGGCTGATGTTTGCTGGAATGTAATTAAACGTATAGCCAGGACACGACCAGAAGATTTCCAGTTGAGGGGAAGTGCAAGCTTACTCATTAAATTGAATGGTAGCTTGTAATTGTTGTAGTAAGTCTCTTCCCCACAGATTGAGGTGGATTTTCAGCACACAGGGCTGGATGTAAGCAATGGTTTCAGAGCTATCAGGCAGAGAAACAGGCAGCCACTGTACGCTTTTGGAAGAGGTTTGGGGGCCACCCACACCCCAGACTGCAGAGGCAGACTCAAGGGGCCACGTGGGGTCCCAGCAACTACTAGAAATTACAGAAACGTCTGCGCCTGTGTCAATCAAGCCTTCCAGCACAATACCATTGATTTTATACTTACGAAGAAGTTTCTTCTCACCAATCCTCTGGACTACAGCTAACAGCTGTGGAGGGAAAGAAGAGAGCTCGTGCAAATTAGTATCCATAATAGAAGCAGTAGGATGAGAAGGGAGCACCACCAAATGCGCCCAAGACTCACCCTTTTTTAATTGCATGGGCATATGGCTCCAGAGTTGAACCATTATTGTGCCTACATAGTCAGGATCCAGAACTCCAGGAATAACCTGGATGCCTTCCTTTGCCGCAGAAAATTTGGGTAAAATTAAACCTGCGACTTTAGGAGGCAGGGGACCTGCCAATTGAGTGGGCATAAGCACAATTTCACCAGGTAGAACAGAGTCTTTGGTCTCTTGATTGATCAAATCAATTGCAAATTCAGAGGGTGTGTTCTTTGAAAAGTTTGCAGCAGCAGAAATTAAAGGCGGAAAGCTCTCTAATTTTCCTGGCCCGAGAGCGAGGCCGCAATGGAGTTTCCCGAACTCCTGCAGTGATTCCCCCACTGATAGCCTTTGCCACATTTCGGGCATTTTTTAGAAGGTCTAGCCTTAGAGGCAGAACCATCCTTGTGTGCCCCCCCGCCTGGGGCTCTGCATTGCTTGGCAAAATGGCCTGGGCGCTTGCAATTAAAGCAGTTACCAGTAGGCTTAGTGGTTGCTTGGATTGCGCCGGCAAGCAAGGACATCGCATGGCTCTGGCTACCGACATCCGCACAAGCTTGAATCATATCGGCCAGTTCATATTTAGGGCGATGTATGATTGACTGCAAAGCTTTCTTGCAATCAGTGTTTGCGTTTTCAAAGGCCAATTTTTTCATCAATTCATTTTGAGCAGTGGTGTTATCAATCTGCCTAGTGACTGATTCTTTCAATCTATCTATAAACTGATGGTATGGCTCCGAATGCTGTTGCTTAATATTTACAAAGGAGCTCAGCGGTTGCCCAGAAACAGGGACTTTCCGAAAGGCGCGTTGTACACAGGTCGCGGTGCGAACAAAATGTACAGGTGTCAGTGTTGCTTGGGCAGTTATATCAGCAAACTGACCAGCACCATAAAGTTCATTGGCAGTATGTTGAGGATCAGACAGGGCTGAAGCGCTATGTTTAAATTCACTCTCAAACACCACATACTGAGCAGGGGACAAAAGCATGCGCATCAGGTCTTTCCAGTCCTGAGGTAGCATAATGTAACCAGTTGCTATGCCTTCTAGCATCCCTGTCACATAAGAGGATTTCAGACCAGAATCAGCAATGGCTTTCCTTAATTCCCTCATTACAGAATAAGGAAGCGATTCATAATAAATCTGCTGTTGAGCAGTTCCAGGGTTTGAATAAGAGATAGGGAAAGCAGACGGCATTTCACCTGGCCACTCAGACTCCTCCTCTAAGGACAGGAGCCCTTTTGCCTTGCCAGAGAGAGCGCAGCACGCACAGCTCCTATAGAGCAAACAGGGGCTGTGGCAGGAGGAGGAGGGATGGGGGGGGAGGAATCAGGCTGAGGCGGAGGGATGGGGGGGGAGGATGCAGGCTGAGGAGGGTGAGACGCGGGGAGGGATTGGCTGGGCTGCAAGGAGAAGGAGGTAAAAGTTTCGGGTAAGGTGGGGGATTGTCTGCAATGGCCAGAAGAGGAGACGCCTGGGGTCCCAATTGGGGCCCTAATTTAGCAACGGCATCAGCACATTTCTGCCAAGTGAGCAGACAATGAATCGGAGCCCTAGGTTCTGCTAAAGGGTCTTTCCGATCTTTTGCCAAGTCTCTACGTCCAAAGATCCAGCCTCTGGATAAAAGATGCATTGGCAATTTATCTCACATAGCAATTGTTCAATTTCTTTTAAGGAAATATTAACACCCACCTCCCGCTGTCTAACTAAATAAAGCAATTCTTTAGCATGCTCTTTCTGGAGCTTAGTCAAGTCCCCTCCCATACTCACGAAGGTAGCGCGCTGAGACTTTTCCAGTCGGGTGAAGTATGAGGTTTGGCTGCGTAAGGGATCTGGCACGTCGGGGTCACCAGATGTTGGGTTGAAATCACGACAGACGAATGGTGGGTGTCAAAGGAGAGACGTCTGCCCGGGGCAAGTCCCGGGAACTCTCTTTATTGAATATTACAAACATTGCCACAGGTGTGCTTGTGGCTGATTGGCTGATACAAACACAAAGCATCTTGTTGCTGATTGGTTAACATAGGTACAAGGCGGGAATAACATTTTACATTAATCAGTGATAGTTCAAAAGACTGGGAGCGGAGCTGGAACTAGACAGGCATGAATCCTCCTAATTAAATTGTAACTAAGATTAATATAACATGACTAAAACAATTACTAATGATTGATCATAAGTGAAAGGTCCGTATATGTGGTCAGCTATGCATTGAGAACAGAGCATGTTGTTTTTGTACGTGAACTCAGAATGAACTGAAGAATTGAGGGAATGTCTGGGTGTCCTGAGCTTGGTGTGTTTGGAACAGTATGTGCAGAGCAGAAGGAGACTTCCCAGAATCCAAGAGGAAAGAAGCAAGAGTTTTCATAGTAAGCATAGAAAGATTGCATAGTAAGAGTTCCCATAATGCCACAGTTATGTGCAGTAAGAGAACTGCAGAAAGAGAACTTCCCTTCAG